ATGTTGTGTTCTTATCCGGTAGCATTACGTGGGATTGATGTTGCTGTGATTGATGATACAAATTTAACATGTGGTATGGTTTAAAGCTGGGGATTTGTTATATTTCTTATATTTTGTACTTATGTATTTAGTTTCTAACTCGATTTTTTTTCATGCTTATCAAATTTATTAACTTTGAAATCCAGTGATATAAGAATGAAATAAATTTCAGTTGATGATTCGCCTCGACCTCGTTTATTAAATCATCCGAATGCATTAGTGAAAGCGTTATTGGGAAACAGTATTAAATTAAATTGTACTGGTTATGGCGCAGCGCCATTGGATATCAAATGGAAAGTTATTCGTGATGGACGGTTTCGTCTATTATCGCATGATGCAACAACCGTTTTTGTTTATAATCATTCATCGGCTACGAACAGTAATTTTTTTAATTACTTTTTTTCTATATTCCATGAGTATTTGAATAAAATAATTTGGTGCAAATTTCAGGCACGGTTACAGGGCTTGCAATGGAATATCTTTTTAGTGAACTGCAACTCAATGATATTGGTTTTAGTGATCAAGCAGAATATCAGTGCATTGTACGGAATCATTATGGCTCAGCATATTCTTTGAAGTAAAAGTTTGGACTTTTTGCTAATTCATTAAAAGATATTTTTTTATCGAAAATAGGTGTGACTACTTATTTTCCTTTAGTAATTTTAATAAGTTTCCAAGAACTTAGCAATTTTCTCGTTTACAGAGTTAAATTAATGGTCCTGCAGAAACCGCGAATAGATTATTCACCATCAAATGTATCGATTATTCGTGGTGGAAGTGCTAGGTTGAGATGTGCTGCACAAGGTAAGCATTTTCCGTGAAACATTTTGTCGAACTTTTCACTTTTTAAACTTTGGAGAACATTCATATTTTGAATAGTTCTCGCAAAATACTATATAATTCAGTTAACTTATAGCGTTTTCGTCCGATTTTTTTCGGATTTGGAAAGGAAAAATTTAGAAGTTTAAAATCCCCGAAATACTGAAGGGTCCTTTTTCGGGTGTCTCATGCTTCCGTTCCCTCCGTACCTCTGTTCATCCCTCTTTATTTTAGTGAAATTCACCAAAATGACTGCATGTAATCTCCTCTTTATTTGTTTTTCTCTATTCAAATTTTGCCTCTGTTCGTTCTTTAAAAATTTCAGGCGTTCCGACACCAATCATTAAATGGATGAAAGATGGTGGCGATTCATTTCCAGCTGCTGTGGAAAGACGCTTGCATGTGAAAGCTAATGATGATAATTTATATGTGGTCAATGTGTCATTAGCAGATACGGGTATTTATACATGTCGTGTGAGTAATGAAGCCGGTCATGTGGAAAGTTCGGCACACGTTCTTGTTTATGGTAATCATGGTTTGCTTGCGGTTTTTATATGACAGTTTATATTGGCATAAGATTGAGTTCTTTGTCGTTATTTTCTCTTTAATTTTATTTTGATTCCATTACAGATATTGATTTTTCTGACTTTTGAACTTTTCCCTGTAGCACCGTCGAATTGTTATATTCCGAAATTTACATATCAGATAACAAAGTCTGGCCGCAACTTGAGGATCGTAAGGTACATTCCGGAGCGACGGTGATTTTCAACTGCTCAATCAATGAACAATTTCGTGTGTCAGTGCAGTGGTTACGTGATGGTCGTTTAATTGACCCCAGTACAGCTCCTTCACGTCTAGCCTTTAAAGCTGGCAATCAGTTGCTGGTGCTAAGTGAAGTATGCCAAATTTCAATTCAAATTTATATCTCATTTGTACATATTTTCCTTTCGGAACTGAGATTTTTCTCCTTAAAATTTGAAATTAAGGCCTCAAAATCTCAGAGCTCTGTAATTTTGATTTCAGGCACGAGCTTCAGATAGTGGCGTTTACGGATGCGAATTTAAAGTAGGTAGTGAAGTGCTTTCGCGGGTATCCTCGACGTTAGTTGTTGAAATCGGTGCTGAAGAGGACTGGAATAAGAGACGTGAACATATTGATAAGATTTCGACTGACAAAAGTTTACAGTATTCGGTTGCTATTTGCACCATCACCTTAATTATACTAGCAGCCGGAATGTGCTCTGTAATTTTCTTCATGGGAAAACGAAAAAAGGCGAGGCAGTATTCTTCGGTAAAGGTTGGCAAATTCGTTTGTGTTAACTGGAAAGATACCTTTCGTAATAAATTACCTAGAAGAATTCCATTCTTGAAAAGACCCATGAATTTTGAGAAGTGCATCAGTGCTGCAATAAAACGTTTATTTTTCAGAAGTTTTGTATAAGAAATACTTGCACTATATGTTATTTTTTTAAAACAAAACTCTATTTCCAATATTTTTTAGAGTGACTCAGCTACAACAACAATTGAGAAGCAGCCCACGAGTGAAAAAGATAGTGCCGTACTGACGGAAACAACGCAGGTTTACGTGGTCGTTTAAGCATATTTCACGTCCTTCTCTTGCTAATGGAAATAACGTCAGATTATGTCCTCATTGAATTTCATTTCACACGTTTTAGAAATATGCAGTACGAGAAAATTTTCCAAGAGTTTTAATAATTATTTTTGAATTCGTGTTTTATTAATAGTGTTTTCATTGCTCATTTGTAAGTTTCAATTCTCCCATTATCAGATCTTCAGTTATTTTGTTTTTTGACGTTCCCGTGTTCAGTTATATTAGGAAAAAGTATTGATCATATTCCTTATCTTATTCTCCTCATCTTATATGGTTGTACATAAAATTGAGCTTTAAGACTTTATTCACTCCATTAGCTTTAAAATTCTGGATATTTGTGTCTTCCAGAAAAAAAGAACTGTGTGATCCACTTCCTTTCTTCTATTTTCCAATAGCATGCTACGCATGCATGCCCAGTTGCTACAGTGGTTGTAACAGTAGAATTCTATTCTGTGGTTTAATCGCTAAACCCTCGATTCGCTGGGTTGCATACCCTGGTGAAGATAATTTTAATTAAGTACGTTGTAACTTACAAGGGATGTTTTTCAAAGATCCCTTGATCCGATGTTCTTCATGCGATTAAAACTAGATCGTCATTTAATTCAGCTCTATGCACTTGCTTTAGCTTTTTATTTTTTTCAATATTTTCTTGTTGTGTACAAATCGAACATGCTTTACTAATTCTTGAATTCAGATTTAATTTCTACCTTTTCTAGTCATTTCATTGTCATTTATTGCTGTCTTTAAAGCTATTTCTTTGTATCTTCGAATTATTTCTTCAGTTAGAAAGTGTATTTCGTTTCCTCATTCTTCCTTGCTTATTTTCATCATTCAAACCATAGCAAGCAGACAATCCTTTGCTTTAAGATATGCAGTGTCTGTAGTACTTTTTTTCCAAATTCTTTTGTACTAGAGTTTTATTATTTAATTAAGCCTTATCTGAATAAGCTCATTTTGTTTATTTGACTGATTAAATTCACAGTCTGTATTTTGCTTCGTTAAGTTTTATCATTTTTTTTCATTGTTACAGCTGTTGTGTAGCAATTTTGACAGGTTTATACAAACAGCAGACGAGTATACTCTTATAAAGAGGCTTTTCATTTATACATGTTAGAAATTTCAGATACCATTTTTGTATTTTTTGTTTCATCTAAAAGTGCTGTTTGGAAATTCGCATTCATGTGATTTTGTTACCGGAAACACCGCCTTTGGTTGTTCATTAGGCGTCTTGTGTACATAACTTATTTTGTGTTTTTTCTGTAATATGACTTTGAGGGTCTTACTGTGTTTGGAATTCTCTTTTGGAAAAATTGAAATGTCACCCCTCTTCATGCAATGTTTTTCCTTACGGACTCGAAATTCCAAAAATTGGTTTTTTCTATTCTACAAACATTCTTATCTCTTTTGCACTTCTGTTGATTGGATTAAATTTCAATCAACCACAAAATTGAGGTTAGATCATAGGAATGTTTTTGTACATTAGATCATTAGATCATAGGAACATTACATTAGATCATAGGAATGTTTTTGTACTAATGCTAGAGGCTTATTATTTTTGAGATTTATAAATCTTTCTAATGGGAAACAAAAACTAGGATTGATTTAATGCATAATTTGCATTGTATTATGTGATCTTATACGTCCCCAAAGAGCTCATCATATTTTGCTTATGGAATGACGAGAACTTTTCCCAATCATTGTTAATTGCATAATTCATGACTTAAGAGTTTTTGCAGTTCTTTAATTAAAATAGCATTTATTTCAAAATCCCAGTTAATGCGTATTATAACTTCAACTTCAGTGCGATGGTTTCCAAAGTTGTCAGTCGTTTTTTTTTTGTTTTTTTATTTTCCCTAGGCACATGATGCTAAGTGATAATAAATGAGTACAAAAAAAGTTCATTTTTTGTTGAATACCGGATTTTAACCATTTACCTAATCATTGTTTCACATATTTTTAATGAATTTTTACCCCAACAGTTACTTTATACCCTTCAAGTTGGCTAAGGTCATCTCACAATGAATAAGCTCCTGAGAGATATTGAAAATTGTGAATTCCACTTGTTGCAGTTGGTTGATTGATTAAACAGTGTCGGGCTAGAGTAAATATGAGCAATTATGGAAAAGTGTAGATAAAATTGTTTTGGTTCTTGAAACTTTGAGTTCCCCTCAGGATTCGTGAATTTATTTTCCAATGAAAATGCATTGCTTTAAAAACCTTAGAAACCAATGGACGAAGCTTTTTTTTCAAGACAGTCCTGCGACTCATCCTGTGCAATTTATTGTTGCATTTATGTTCATGCGTTGTCATCCGGAATTTGCAGTCACTATCTTTTCGAATTTGTTCATTTCGCTGGCAGAAACTATATGAAATATCTGAAGGCCGACGTAGGTTTCGAAGTTTTAGGCTACATTTCTACTTTTTTTTTTCCATTTCAGGTTTTCATCAAGCATGCCTCATTGGAATTAAGTATACTGACGTGTGTTTTACATTTCGCTATCATTTATATGGAATTATTTGTTACTTAAATTATTTATTATTATGTATTGTATGCTGTTTGTACTCACTTGCTGATACATGTAAGTATTTAATTATGCTACTGCTTCAGTAGTTTTGCATTATAAGGATGTTTAAAGTCACATATGTAGAAAAATATGAAGTGTAAGAAGGGAAAAGACAGAACGGAAGGTCAGGTTTTTGAAATATGCAATTAAATCTCTTTCCATCTTCTCATTTTCCTACATCCCCTCATCTCTCCTGTCTCACTGTCCTCACTACATCAGCAAATATTTCGAGCATTTGATTTTAATAAGCTTGGTGCTGATGTATGTTGTCGAGATACAGGGTTTACTGTAACAGCGATATGATGTGAGTATAGAGATCGAAGTTAATCATTGCTGGTTTTTCATGCAATAAATTTATCCGTTCCACTTTTTTTTTGTTTTTTATTCCATGATTGAAGTCAAATGAAACTGCATTTTTAGATTACTGGAAATGAAGGATTCAGTCAGTGAAGCGGGGAAACGTATGCGAAAATTTAGTCGTGGTCATAGACGAGCTTTTTCAGTACCAAATGCTAGTGTTAATCGTACTCGAATATCTGTTGCCGAAGAGGGTGATTTCCCGGTTGCTATTTTTACTTCTTATTCCATGAAATGCGTATTTTTCTGGGAAATTTGGTTAAAGATATTTGTGTCATTGTAAAAAGGGCTTCTCCTGTTTTTGTAATTAACATTATTTGTAGGGAATCGAATGGTTAAAGATATTTGTGTCATTGTAAAAAGGGCTTCTCCTGTTTTTGTAATTAACATTATTTGTAGGGAATCGATTGCAGGAAAACTTTGTTGTGGGTTTTCAGGCATGTGCGCAGAAGCAGAAAACGACAGAAGAGCTATTCAAAGCAGTAACCTATATTTCAAATGGATTGCCAGTTATGCTGCCGGTTTCAGAAGATGATGATGCTGATCTTACTGTATGCTTTTTCACATTCCAAATATTTAGGTAGCATATAGGCGAAAAACATGTTATTCATGGTTTTTTCTTTGGATTTATTTATGATTTCTTGACTAGGAAGTCTTGAAGTATGAACAAATTGGGTCAATTTTCATATATCTTAGTAAAGATTTTTTTATTTACCTGGAAAACTTTGCTCCTTCTTTGTGTGTTATTTGTTAGTTTCAGGTGAAAATCAGCGAAGAGGAGATAAATCTTCCAAATGAAGGAAATATTAAACGTGGTGTACGAGTTGCTGTTAGAAGGGTTTCTCTTTCAGTCATTTATTTACTTGTCCCCATCTCTTTTGCTTTAAACGTACTATTTCTTATATTTTTTAAAATACATTACTCTTCGTTAGCAGTCAGTGTAGGAACTAAATGATTTAAGATTTGGGAAGCACGATGGAAGGCTACGAATTTTGAGCTGCTTCCAGAATGGTTGCAAGATAACGAATATTTGCGTACTGGACATAGGCCACCACTACCGAGTTTTGGCTCGTGCTTCAAAAGTATATTTTCTCTACATACGGAAACCGGTAACATCTGGACTCATTTGTACGGTTAGTTATTTTGAAAAATTTTTTACCAAACTTTGATAACGCTTGAAAATAAATTGGAGAGAAACAAGTAATTTGGATAAATGACGAGTGCTAACATCCTCAGTATTTATTTCTGTACATTTGTTACCTAGAACTGTACTATACGCCGCAATAGATGAGATGCTGTGTTATTAATTTAATTCTAGGTTGTGTAGCATTCATTGGAGCTGGAGCCTGGTTTTTAACGCGTCCATCAACATTGGTGCAGTCAGAAGATAAAATTGTGTTTGGGACATATTTTGTTGGTGCAGTGGCTTGTTTGGGATTATCATTTGCCTTTCATACAGTACAGTGCCATTCTGTTGAAGTTGGGAAACTATTTAGCAAGTTTGTTTTGCATTGTCATTTTAGTTTTGAACCTTGAAATAGTTATACTCAGTTATTATTCTCTCGATGTGGGGTGTAAAGCCAAATCTAAGCTGGGGAAAGGGCGTCAGCGAGTAATGTAATTCTATGTTCAGCGTAACAGTGGTGAAAAATGGATGACTATTACGGTACAAAAAGTACTTTAGTTTAAAATATAACTGGATGTTTGTTACATATCGAAGAAAAAAATTACTGGCCCTCCATACTTTGTTTTGTCGCCATTGTTCTGTAGAAGATTCAAAGTGATTTTTTTTGTGAACCTAATCGATTTAATTATTTAATTTTTGTTGTATTTCAGATTGGATTATACTGGTATTTCCTTACTTATTGTTGGCTCTTTCATTCCATGGATTTATTATGGATTTTACTGTCGTTTGCTACCTATGATTGTGTATTTAACTATGATTTCCGTTCTTGGACTTGCTGCAGTTATCGTATCTCTGTGGGATAAATTTGCTCAACCGCAATACCGACCTTTACGAGCTGTTATTTTCATAGCTATGGGTTTAAGCAGTAAGATATTGAAATTATGCAGTTGTTCATAACCAATGTTATACTAATAAATTGAAAGTTACCATTATGTAGTATTTGGACTTATACAATTTGAAAATATTGGAATAAACCCACTTACTTTAGCATTTATCATTAATTCAAGGGTTTTCATGTTATATATATTTTTAGGTGTTGTGCCAGCATTACACTTGCTAATTACTGATGGTATTTCGTACCTTTTAAGTGAAGCATCATTATTTTGGTTTTTACTGATGGGTATTTTATATATAACGGGTGCTGTTTTATACGCTACTCGTACACCTGAAAAATGTTTCCCTGGGAAATTTGATTTATGGGTTTGTTTTAGCGTAATCGATTTTTGCTTATTTATCTGTATACAATATAATTTTTATCAGAATATAATAAAGAGAGGCTTATAGTTTTGTCTTATTTTTCCAGTTACAATCACATCAACTGTTCCATATGTTTGTGGTAGCTGCAGCTCTAGTTCATCTATATGGTATCAGTAAAACAGCTGTGAAACGTCTGGAAAAAGGATCCTGCGCTGAACAAATGCTGGAACAGCAAGGATATGATGACGAATCATAATTCATACCTAAAATAATTGATTATAGTTTGTTGAATAAAAAGTTGTCATTACATTTGTTTTTCATCTTGCGGTCACAGTCTTATCGATATTTACTGAGAGTTGCGAAATTGAGCTTTAATGTCGTATGTGGCATTGCCGTAATAAAAAGTGTCGGTTGGTATGATGCTGCAGTTCACGATCATATTTGTGATATTATGACGTTTTGGTTCTTGTTGCATGTCCCTTTCTTTTGAATATAAATAATCTGTGAAATTGTCTGACAACTTAGAGTGGGATTATTTAGAATGCTACAGATTACATTAGTTTTTAACTCGAAGATGTATGCTGTTTATTTGTCGAATTATTAAGAATATTACGTTCTCTTCCATTTATTGTCCATTTGGGAGGTAAGGCATACAGCTTGCTCAAGTTGCATTAGATCAGTTGAATTTAAGTTTCGGAAGTGCAAGTCGTCGAGTAATATTTCTGCTTGCTTTTTATTCTGAGACTTCTTTTTTACTGAATTTAACCTCATTTTACTGAATTTAAGGTATTTGCAAAGATGATGCTAAGAGCAGTACGAGGTAGCCTTCGTTCGGCTGCAATTGCAGCATGGAAAATGCCTACAGTAATGACGCAGGAGACTCCCATTGTTTGCGCAGGATACCTACAACGAAATAAATTCAATTTAAATCAAGTAAGACTGTTTCCAAAGTATTAGAAAGTCACCGTTACGTGGGTAAAAATAAGTATTTCCGAGTTTCATACGTAGTGCTCCACGTATGCCAAATTGATTCTCCACTTCGTTATTATTTTGCTGGCGTTCTTTTTACCTCAATTTTTTTTAGGTTCGTTTTGCTGCTCATGTACATTTGACGATGAAAGTTGTCGAACAGCGAATTATGCTTGTTCTGAGTTTGTACGATAAGGTATGCTTATGTATATTATCATTAGAATCAACCACATTTTTAGCGCATTGTTGCATTTTGTCGAAATTTAAAATTCAATGGAAGGTTCTAAAAGGAGCTTGCTTTTAAATTCAGAAATTCTTGATTTCAGTAAAATCTGTTCATCAGATCAAGGAGTAAATTTTATGTTCATCTAGAAATTTGGACCACTGAACAAATTTTGACCATATCATTAGAGATCAATATTTTATAAGTGGAGTAAAATATTCACACAGACTTTTCCAGATTGATCCAAAGAAATTGACGCTTGATTCTGATTTTTCAAAAGACCTTGGATTAGATTCACTGGATTTTGTGGAATTGATCATGGCTATTGAGGATGAATTTCATTTCGAAATTCCGGATGGTGATTCCGATAATATGAAGACACCAAGAGATATATATCAGTATATTTGTGATAGGAAAGATATTTACGAATAATTGTAATGTTCCATGATGTTCATAGCTTTTTGTCTTTCGAATCTGTTCTTCCTCAAGAGTAATGGGACTATTTCGATTTCGAATTAAATTCTTTGGTCAAATACTTTGTTACTCATACGTCAATCAGCTATGATTACTCGGACTGGAAGAACTTGATACGGAGGCAATTGTAGGTGCATAAAAATTTTTTAAAAATCAATGTTTAATGTGCTTTGTGCGTTAAAGATATTTATATATAATGGCTGTGCTCTACCGTTACTTCTAGAAAATAGGAATTCAAAAGTAATCACTCCTTTTTTTTTACTTTAAGATGGTGTTAAGAATCTGATTTTATGATTTAATGCAATTAAAATATGGTTTCTACCATCGTTACATTGTCATCCCACAGATGAGGTAGTTGGATTTTCCTGGGATATTTCAACGTTAAAACCTGTTGTAATTTGGACAAATGGGAAATTGAGAAAATGATGAATTGATCGTGAATGTAAATAGACAAGCAATTCTGTTCATTGGTACAGATTTAAAATGATTCTGAAAAGCTCCATGGAAAGCTTCACTTGGTCGTAATGATTTTTCGTTTTATAGTTTCATATTAAGAAATACATCAGTTCCAGTTACATCCATCATTTATTTCCAAATGAGATAAAAGTTTAATTGTTCATTTTTAGCCAGATGATTATGTCTGGCTTTGTGTTTTTATTCGTCCCACATATCTCTATGTGTTCATAATAATGATGCTCATTATTTCTTCTAGTAATTTTAGTTGGATGTTGATGACTTGCTGTAGAATTTAATAGTTTGATAGTGTGCTCTGATAGGAATAAATGGAAAATGAAGACACGCAATATTGACAACAACTCATGAACAGCCCTCCTTTTTGCATTAGCTAATAATAAGCCATTTATGGATCTTGATGTCCCTTTCCTTATTTATCTCTCGCTTTTTTTTTTCATCCTTATTTTTCTGGTTCATACATAACCCCTTCTTTTCAAATTTTCGAATTTATTTGCTTTTTCCTTCTTCTATAATCGTTTTCGCCCTCTTCTTCCTCATCCTTCTACTTCCACTTCACTCCCACATCATTTTCTAATCTTTTCTCCTTTCAAAATCCCTTATCCGTTCAATTCTTCAAATTGTTTAACCTAATTATCGGGATCTTTAATGCTTCCCTAATTTCATCCTCTGATTGAGCTCATTAATTGCTTTCTCTCTCTTATCAATTTTCCAAAATCTTACTAATTACTTCTAGCTTATAATTTCTTCTAGCTTATATATTATTTCGAATTAAACTAACATGTCTTCTATAAGCTCACTAATATGACATTCAATTAATTTCTTACAGCACCTATAACACAAATCATTTTGATCCAAATCAACAATAATAATTTGAAATTACGAAAATTTATTCATGGATTTATTACGATTTTTATTTTGTTGCAATCATCAGGTTTGTATATTTCAATAAATAATTAACAAAATGAAATTCTTTTTAAAAAAAAATTTTCTTTTTACAAAAAAAAGTTACTTGTTATTAAAAATTGATGAACACTTCGGAAATCATTTCATTTCTTTCTTTTTTCTCATTTCTCTCATATGCATTATAAATATGTTCATTTTAAATTAACTCTTTTTTTTTT